AATCACCATTTTAGTTTTCCATTGAGGCATCCTTTTAATATTACCATGAATTCTTGGTAAAAGACCATTGTTTATCAAATGATTTCTAATGTTTTCAAAATAAGTCCTAGCATATTAAGATAAGTTTCTTGACAAAGGAATGTATTGTGATCCCAATGGTAGAAAGTTCTTTTTATTAGATCTGGTTTTCTTTTCCCTATTACTATTAATAATGTGTAATGGCAACAAAATTTTTAAAATCCGTTGAAACGCGAATTTAATTATAATCCGTTGAAACAAGGGTTATATTGCACCGACCAGTTACACATTAAAAATACTCGTGTTTAACGTCGAGACACAATAAGATATAAGGACCAAAAAACCAAATTGGCTGATATGAATCTTTAAGTTTTTATATCTTCAATTGGAAAATCTTCCTAGGTGAAGTGATTTCACCTTATTTCCCAGAATAGTTTAAAGAAGAATCTTGAATTAAAGGGAATACGTCCATACTTAAAGTTCCTTGATATATCTCTCAAATATCTTTTGGGCCTAATGAATTTTTAATTTGATAAATTTTGAGAAGCAAAAATACATTACATTTTATAAAGATTTTAATTCAGCTATTTATTTACACAATTAAAATAATAAAATCATTCAATGCATTTTATAATTTTTGTAACTTTTGGTAATTTGTATACTTCAAAATAATCAAATAAATCCAAATCTGTAGATTCCTCTAAACTCAATAATAACCAAAATCTCTTCATTGATAAAAGTATTTTTTTTATTGGAATCAATATTTTTTTGTATAAATTCTAAGCAACATTTTAAAACTGGTAAGTTGCCAAATATAATAACTTTCTTAAATTCTAATAAAGCAACAATAATAATGAAACTTACAATACGACTGGTTTCACCCTCTGCAGTAATTCTTCGAAATTCTTGAGCATCCATTTCAAAAAGTGATTCAAGGATCTAAAAAATATTATAGTTGATTAATTATAGATAAAAATCTTTTTTTTAAAAAAAAGGCATTATTAAATCATACATTTTCTGATATTATTACATCTTGACTTGCGGTATCATCTTTAATAATAATCCACATTAATAGACCAATATCAAAATTTGCGCTAAATGCTTTTATTTCGTCTATATTAACCTAAAGAAATAATAAAATGTTAAATTAATTAGAGTAATTATTTGTATTTGCAAAGCCAATTTGTCAACAATATTAAAGTTTTAATTACATTAACTATTATTTGCGTCAATGGTCTATTTTTTAATATTTCAGGTAATTCACAAAGTTTTCTTTCGATTGGTTCGTAATCCATTTGAATTGGATTATCAGGCCCAGAAGTAAAAGATTTAAGCATTTTTTGATTGTATGAATCGTCGATTGATAATTTCCTTTCCCCTGGTTCACTTTTAAGACATTCGTCTAATCAATCAATCAAATTATTAATGTTAATATACACATACATCATAATCATCCAATATCAATATTTCAAATCCTTTTCCAATCTTATAATATAATCGAACATTACCATTTTTTGTGTCATTAATATTACTTTCATGAAATCCAAAATCTTTGTTAAAATGATTTTCTTTTGATAAGTCTTTAGTTTGCTGATTTTGTTTGTTCTCATTTGCTAAATGTAAATTCTCGGTCTTTTCTACAAGTTTTAATATCGAAAACCTGCGACATTCTAATTCATCATCATCAAGATCAAAATCATCAATTATATGTTCATTACCAATGTTTTCCCAATAAAAATTGTCCGTCGGTTCTGCTTCATTTGTTTGATGATTTTCTAGTATATTACAACCAGGATTATTATTAGACCAAAATTCAGGCTCGTTTGTTTGGCCATTTTTGATCAAATCATTGTCATTGAAGTCTTGTTCCTCTAGCTTTAATGGCGGTGGCGCTGAATCATTATTATTAATATAATCATTTTTAGACCAAATTTCAGGTTCATTGGATTGCCAATATTCACTCATATTATTGTCATTGAAGTCTTGTCCCTCTAACTTTAATGGTGGCGTTGAATCATTATTATTAGTATAATCTAGATGATTATTTTTAGACCAAACTTGAGGTTCATTGGATTGCCGATATTCACTCATATTATTGTCATTAAAGTCTTGCTCTTCTAGTTTTATTGGTAGTGGCGTTGGATCGTTATTATTAATATAATCTGGA